ATGCTGTTGCTCAGCGCTGGGAAGTGCAACTTTAATAGCTCTAATCCCTGAGGCACTCATCATGTGTCTGGCATGTGCCCAGCGTTTCGCAGGCTTGCTTCCACGTTTCGGGCTGCACTTCTCGACCCACCATTCCCAGCTGAATCGGGACTCCCGCGGGCATGAGACCAACAAAACAAAAGAAAATAACGAGGAGGAAGGAGTACCGGGATGGATGCAACAAAGGCAGAAGGAACAGCGTCGGGGGGGGGAAAAAAAACAGGCAGGATAAGCAGGAGTCCTCTCCCTCCGCCTCCTTCGCCTGTCCTGAATCATCCTCCTCCCTCTCATCCTCCTGTCCCTCCTCCACTATTCCCACCCCTGGCGGAGGAGCATGCAGTCGAAATGAAGGAGGGATGATGGAAGAGGTCCATGAGGGATACCAGATAGGAGGAGGGACGTGACAGGATGGGGAGAGATGCGCGCGACATGCGGCGGCCGGTCGGTGGGCCAACTCCCTGCGCACTTCAGAAGGACGTCCAGCATGACGCCGCTGGGGCGGAGTACGACGATCCGCGGCCGCAGCTCGAGCTCGCCCACGAGCCCTCAGCCCGAACCCGAGCGCCGAGCACGCGAACGGCCCGGCGCCCCCCCCCCCCGAATCGCCTCGCGCCGACTCGGCCCGCAGGTCGCGCGCCATCGCCTCAGCGAGGAACACGCGGCACACCGCCGCGGCGCCCGTGGGGCAGCGGCCGACGCCCAGGCCCAGTAGCGCGGGCGCGGGCAGGGGCTGCGCCCTGGCGGGCCAGCGCCGGGCGGGGCGGCCCTCGGAGTGCGCCGTCGTTGCAGGAGGGAGGGGCGAGTTCACCTCCCGTAGATCGGGGAGACGTAAGACTCGGGTTCGGGGGACTAGGGTCAGCCTGCCGGGGCCATCATGAAAATGACGAGAGCCAGTCTGAAAGTTGACGCGAGCTCCCGCTGCAAACATCCCACGACAACTGGACCGTCAAAATCCAAGACGCGCGCGCTCGTCAAAAAGCGTTGGCAAACCCGAGTTCCGGCGTACTCGAGTCTTACGTTTCCCCGAATAGAAGGAGTCGCGGCGGGTCCAGCCAGCCTGATGCCTGCAGGATATCCAAGGTGACGGCCCAGCGCCCGCCGCCCGTCGAGGCCGGTGAACAGCTCAGCCAAGAACCCCAGGACCGAAACGTTCTAGCCACCCAACCCGTCGTTCGTGACCAAATAGACCGATGCCACGTAGACAGGTAGCGGCAGGCCCTGGCCCACCTTCCGCACACAAGCTCTATTTTGAAGATCGCCCGGCACTCTCGCAACTTCGTGCGTTCAGCCAAACCGTGAGGAGACTGGGCCAGCAGCGCCTTCCGAGTTCTCCACCGCACTAGCTTTCGAGGCTAACGCCGACTGAGAAGTCATCGATAAACCTACCTGCCGTGCCCACAAACAGGCCGAGCCGTACGACGCAGTCGAGACGAGCCTGGTCTCCTGCAGCAAAACAATGTCGGGAATCTCGCTGCACTCCTCCTTGCTTCACCCGGTGAACTCCAAGCCTGTGCGCCACGATATGCAGTTGCAGGCGAGGATCACATGGGGCAAGAGTCATCCACGACTGCTGTCTTGGAGGCCGCGCTTCCACTGCGACCCCTTCGGCGGCTCCATGAGCGGCGGGAGGCGCGCGGAAACTGTCTCCTCTGCGCCTTGTGGAAGGCTGCAATGTAGGTGGAGCGGCCGAGCAGAGCCGCCCCCCTGCACTGGAGCCCGAGGGAGACTGGTCTATCTCGAGGGTCCAAATGACGACGAGCCCCCCGAAGTAAATCCAACCAAGTTACTAGCACTGGCGCCCGGGGTATGCCCTAGCTCCGCTGTAGACATCGGGCTCACCCTGATAGCACTTCCTGTCGAAACGCACCCGTTCCCTCCCGTCTGCGCAACACCAGGTAGGACACCGTCGGGCCCTTCAACCATCAGAAAGGAGAACTGGGGAACCCTCAGAGACTCCTCCTGTCAGCGCGCCACCAGGACAGATACTGCGACTGTATATACTCTCTTCAGTGAGCGAACCACCAAAAAAGACAAACTCGTCGCCCCCACTCACATCAGCGACTGAAGCGCCGCATCCGGTCTGGGCCCCGCGACGACGCAGCAGCCCTGAGGGCGCCGTCGCAGGAGCGGAGACCGACGCTCCGCACGCGTGCTGCCGCACCGCCGGGAGCCGGCTCAGCGGGAAGGGGCGCGCCCTTCGCAATATGTTCCGGCCTGCTCTGTAGGTCAGCGACGCCGACGGACGCCGCGGCCTCCCGAGCCGCGGAGGCTGCTGCGGCCGTGGGCTCAGGAGGGGCTGCAGCGCAGGCGCCTTTGCCTGGGGCCGCGGGGCCGCCTCCCCCTCCTCCGCAACTGCGGCAGCGCCAAGAGAAGCGGGTGCGGCAGCACCGCCGACCCCCAGCGCCGTCCTCTCCAGCGCAGTGCCTCTTGGCTCTGAACCGCTTGGCCATCTTCTCCGCCTCTGCACTGCGGGCCCTCGCCTTCGCAATAGCTTCCCCGAAGAGTTCCTGGATAGCCGCCGTGAGCTCATATTATACTGGTTATGTGTCGCAGTGATCTGCTTCTTGCCATCCCTCTCTGGGGACCCTCCCAGGCTCCCCTCATGACCCTCTCGGGAGCCTCTCGGGAGCCTTTCGGGAGCCTCGCTGGAGCCTCTCAAGAGCGGGAGCAACTCGGGACCCTCTCGTGAGCCTCTCAGCGGCTCCCAAAGAGCCTCTGTCAAAAATCTCGCGGGTTCTCTCAGGAGCTTCTCGGGGCCCCATCATTCACATTCACATTCGTAGTCGCATTCGCGCTCTCATCAGGACATGGTCTTTGCCTTCTTGGGCCGTAGCGTGGACCTCTTTATGCGTACAAGTGCTGGGGAAAGAAAAGGCCAGACAGCACAAGCGTGCTTCCCTGCTGGAGTAGGTTCTGGCGCCGGTGTCGGTTGGTGTCGTGTTGGCAAGTGTCTTGGTCGTCTTGTTCGGGTGCTGGGCCCCCGTCGATAACATGAAGTCGGACTCCATGCTCATCCAAGTGGTTGTGTCGGAGGCCAAATGGATCCCGTAATATCATTCATGGCGCGTGGTCGTAATCCGCTGTCAGATGTAGTCGTGTAGTTCGTCCTCCCACCGTTTCGGTTGTCGACCTTGTTGTCGCTGTCCTCGTTGTCCAGCAACGAGATCAGGATGCCAGTGAGCAATTTTTTCTCCCCACAGCCAGGAGGACGCCGACCCACTCAGCAGACCAATGGCAACCTCACCGTGCCCGTGAGGTGGACCCCGAGGTCCGGCCAGAACAGCCCAGCGGACAGCAAATCGTGCCGGCAACGCTTGATACTGGGTGAAACGTTTTTTCCCCGCGCAGCGAATGGCCGGAACATGTTGTATGCCTGAAGTGATCCACACTCTGGCTGCCAAGAGAATCTGGTAAATGAGTCCTATGGTGTGGTATGCGGGCCTGAAGGCTCAAGGGCACAATGACCCGCCGAACAGGGAGAGGGGAGAGGGAAGCCGAAAAGGATGCGGAACAACGGGGAGGAGGGAAGAGGAGGAGGGAATAATGGTAAACTCAAGATTCGGAACTATACGGTGCGACCAAGGCGTCTTTCTAAGCGCCAGTGATCAACTGCACGAATTTCCGCCCCGAGTTACGGCCTGCGGCGGCTGAGATGCCAGTGAGCAATTTGTTGAGCCCGTCGGGTGGCTAGGTGGCCACATGTGAACCCTACCCCTACCCCCGACGATTTCTGAGGGGGAGGGTGGGGTTCACTTCGCTCCCTAGTGGCGCTGTGACGGGCTATTGTGTGGGCACGTCTCCGCAGACGTCGACGCTGGTTCGTGACCCGTGGCTCCATGTCGTGTAGGTCCGTCAAACAATTCGCTCTGTTGTTACCGTTATCGCTGTTATCGTTATCGTTATCGCTGTGATCGTTGTCATCGTTGCTATCGTTGCGACGGTTGTGATCGTTATCGTTGCTATCGTTGCAATCGTTATTTTCGTTGCGATCGTTGTGACCGTTATCGTTTTCTTCGTCACTGGGGCCCTCCTGGGCGCCTCATGGTTGCGCGGCGGATGAAGTCGAGCCACGGCTCAGTAAGGTCGTGCTTTCCTGGGGCCACTGGCGTTGTTACCCCTGCAATCCTCCAGTCCTGCAGTCAGGATCCTTTGCTGGGACCACTGGCGTTGCTATCCCTCTCCTCCTCCGTCTCCTCCTCTTCCTCCACAAGTGCCTAGTATGAATTCTACTCTCCATTCTCCCCTAACTGTCTGGAAAATGTCACGCCCTCTCACGTATTATGTTCTGACAACAGATTCCATCATGTATTAGTTTTCCCATCGGAGCGTTCTTGGTGTTTCAACATGGTGCCCCCACGGCAGAGAGGGGGTCATTTTAGGGTCGGCGCCTTGCTCCCGTCGTTCAAAGTGGCTCTCTCGCCCCTGGACCCGAGTCCTTCCTCATCTGTGTCGCCCCCCTCCGTTTCCTTCCTCTGCCTTCCCCTGGTCCTCCTGCTCCTCCCGCTCCTTCCACTCTGGCTCCTGCTGCTACTGTTCGTCCTCGTCCTCCTTCCTCCTCCTCCTGCTCATTTTCCTCCTGCCCATACTCCTGCTCATTCGTCACCTCCTCCTCCAATGTACGCAGCTCCGTCTTTTCTCTCCCATCCAGCATAACACGATAGGAGCCTTCAGGGATGGATGACACGCGTGGGGGGACAGAGAAAGACCACCGTCATTGGAGGGGATGGGTGGGAAGGTAGGATGTCAGATCCGGCGCGAGAGCACCTAGCTTGTCTTCCACCCTCCTCCTCATCTGCCTTCCACGTCGTCCTCCTCCTGCTCCTCGTTTTCCCCCTCCTCCTCCTCCCTCTTCCTCTTCAGTTTTCGTCCTGCTCGGCCTTTCTCCTCCTCCTCCTCGCCGCCATCCTCCTCGCCGCCATGCTCATCACCGCCATCCTCCAAGGACAAGGCTCGGCTCGCGCCTGCAGCACCTTGCGGTCCGTGAGGTCGGTGGTGCTCACCCTGAGCTGCGCGGTGTCTTCCGCGATCGAGGTCTCGGCGGGGGCGGGGGCCACGATCGGATTCTCGGGGGCAGTGTCTTCTGCGAGCGAGGTCCCGCTCTGATCCTGCTCCTGATCTTGGTCATCCTGGTCCTCCTCATCATGATCCGTAGCCATGTCTGGCTGGCGAAGTTGTTCGCTCGAGGTGATGCAGCAGCCGACGACTGCGAGTCGCTCTGCGGCGCTTCGAGCACGAGGCGTTGCGCTTGAATCAGCGCCACATTCATATCTCTCGCGGCCTACAGGGCCACGGGTGCGCCCGATGTTTTGGGAAAGTCCTCCAAAACAAACAACAGGGGGACACGCGCACACTCCTGACAAAGCGGGGCGTTTGCAAATCTCTCTGTCGCTAACCCTCCGCCTGTCTCCACATCTCTGTCTGTCTGTCTGTCAGTCTGTCTGTCTGCTTGCCTGTCTGTCTGTCTGTCTGCCTGTCTGTCTCTGTCTGCCTGTTTGTCTATATGTACTTCTGTCTGTCTGTCTGTCTGCCTGTCTGTCTGTCTGTCTGTCTGTCTGTCTGTCTGTCTGTCTGTCTGTCTAACTCTCTGCCTGTCTCTGTCTGACTGTCTGTTTCTGCCTACCTGTCTCACTGTCTGTCTGTCTGACTTACTGACTGACTGACTGTCTGTCTTTCTCTACTCTCTCTATCTCTGTCTCTGTCTCCCTGTCTGTCGCCCGTTCTCTCTGTCGCTCGCACCTGTGCTCACTTGCACCGTGGCCGCAACGACGCCCCTGCCCTGTGATTTGCTTTCTCTCTCTCTCTCTCTCTCTCTCTCCCTCTCTCTCTATACATATATGTATGAAACTGGAGATAAGCCCAATCATAATGTTCTTAGGGCTTAGGGCTATAGGACTCTAGGGCTATCGGTCTATAGGGCTATAGGCATATAGAGCTACAGGGCTATAAGGCTATAAGGCTGTAGGGCTATAGGGCTATAAGTAAGGGCTATAGGGCTATAGGGCTATAAGGCTATAGGGCTATAGAGCTATAGGGCTATAAGAGCTATAGGGCTATTAGGGCTATAGAGCGATTGGGCGATTGGGCTATAGGGCTATGGGGCTATGGGGTCAACGGCTATAGGGCTAGAGGGCTGTAGGGCTATAGGGCTACAGGGCGATGAGGCTATAGGGCTACAGGGCTATAGAGCTATAAGGCTATTAGGGCTATAGTGCTATAAGGCTATAGGGCTGTAGGGCTATAGGGCTAGAGGGCTATAGGGCTATAGGGCGATAGGGCTATAAGCCTATAAAGCTACAGGGCTAGAGGGTTACCAAGCACCCGGGCACCCAGGCACCCGGGCACCCCCGGGCACCGGGGCACCCAGGCACTCGGGCACCCGGGCCAGCCACCAGAATTCGGCGGCCCACCTCACCTAACCATATGAATCCGCTAGAACCACTAGGTACAGTGGCAAGCTTTGATTGGGGAATGTACACACATACATGGCCGATTCCGGAAACCCTGAACCCAAAAACGTTGTCATCTCTTGGGGGGTCAAATTTTGCTTCCGCCGGCTTCCGCCGAGCTTCCGCCGGCGGAGCTGCCGCCGTTTTACTGAAGAAGGCCGCGGAAGAGATGGCAACTCCTTCGACCCTCGAAGGCGAGGCCCTTTTTCAGTTCAGCGCTCTTACGTGCACCACTTATTGTCTGCATGGGTTTCTGTTCGCGGCCGGAGCTGCAATTGAATGTTGCTCCCGGGGATTATGACACCTCATAAGTCCATATATTGAGCGAGCTTTGTATTGAAGAGTGGGGAATACATATCTCATAATGTATAAGAGACCGAGGGCTCTGGAGTGGCCCATGGTGGGGCAATGGAGCGGGCAGCATGTCTGCGATCGTCGCCGCAGGGGCTGCCCCCCGCTGGGCCTGCTCTGGACCCCGCTGGGGGGCCCTCAGGGGGACCCGCCATGGACCCCGCTGGGAGACCCACTGCGGCGAGCGGCATTTTCGCGCCCGTCGCCCTGTTGCGCCCGTCGCCTGTCTCGCCTGGGGCGGCGCGCGAGCGTCGCCACTGGGGCCGTATGCGCAGCCTCTTATGGGCCCGCGGAAAGCGTGAGGGGCGCTGTGCGAGCGTCGCCAATGGGAGCTGAGGTTGAACCCCCTTATGCACATGACATGTGTGAGGGGCGGGCGAAATGGGCGCGGGGCGTTATGCGAGCGTCGCCACGTGGGCTGGTAGAGCCCTCTTTGGAGCCACAGGCAATGTGATGGTTGTGTTGAACTAAGCGCGGGGCGGCATGCGATCGCCACCAGTGCTTGGGGTGGTGCCCACCAAGGGGCACGACATTTGTGAGGGGTGCGCCGATAGGGGCGCAGCCTGGGGTGGCCCAGGAGACCGCGCTGCGCTGCGCTGGGCGAGCAAGGTGACGGGCTGCATCTGTGCACCCGTCGCCCTGCTGCGCTTGTCGCCCTGTCCCGCCCAAAGCGCGCCCCTGCCAGCCCAGCTGCGCTGCGCGGGGCGAGCGAGGCGGCGGGCGGCATTCTTGCGCACGTCGCCCGAGTGCGCCCGCCGCCCTATCTCGCCCAAAGCGCGCCTGGCAGCCCAGGGCTGCCTGGATGAACTTTTGCGCGCGTCGCCCAGTTGCGCCCTTCGCCCTGTCTCGCCCAAAGCGCACCCCTAGCTGTCCAGCTGGGCCACCTGGGGCGAGCGGGGCGGCGAGCGGCATTCTTGCGCCGGTCGCCCGGTCGCGCCCGTCGCCGTCTCGCCCAAAGCGCGCCCCTGGCTGTCCCGCTGGGCCACCTGGGGCGAGCGGGGCGGCGGGCGGCATTCTTGCGCCCGTCGCCCAGTTGCGAATGTCGCCCTATCTCGCCCAAAGCGCGCCCTTGACTGCCCACCTCGGGCGCCTGGGGCGAGCGGGGCGGCGGGCGGCATTCTCGCGCCCGTCGCCCTGTCTCGCCCAAAGCGCGCCCCTGTCAGCCCAGCTGCGCTGCGCGGGGCGAGCGAGGCGGCGGGCGGCATTCTTGCGCACGTCGCCCGAGTGCGCCCGTCGCCTAGTCTCGCCCAAAGCGCGCCCCTGGCTGCCCAGCTGGGCCGCCTGGGGCGAGCGGGGCGGCGGGCGGCATTCTTACGCCCGTCGCCCTGTCTCGCCCAAAGCGCGCACATGACAGCCCAGCTGGGCTGCCTGGGGCGAGCGAGGCGGCGGACTGCATTTTTGCGCCCGCCGCCCGGTTGTGCCCGTCGCCCTGTCTCGCCCAACGCGCGCCCCTGGCTGCCCAGCTGGGCCGCCTGGGGCGAGCGGGCCCTTTGGGCTCTTGGGCTTGCGAGGCGCGCTTTGGGCGCCCATTTGCCGGCGGTCCTCCGCGCATCGGCGACTGCATGCGCATGACGTGCAATGCCAGCTGTAATACATGCGCGCCTTCAGCGCAACGCGAGTTCAAGTGTCTGGGCGCGCTTCTTCCTCGCCCCTAGTAGGGGCACGCTGTCCGCCACCTCGGCCTCGTCTGGGCTGTTGGACAGGGCAGCAGGCGCGCCGCGGATGTACAATATATATATATATATATATATATATATATATATATATATATATATATATCCGCGGCATGCCTGCGGCTGCGCACCCTCCGGCTGCCCGGCCTCCTGTGAAGGACCTCGACGTGGGCCCCGTCGCCACCGAGGCCGCCCTCGGCGCTCTGGGGCGCAACGAGGGCGTGGGCCCCGACGGCGTCGCGGGCGTGGTCTTGCGAGCTGGGGGGGGCGCCATCGCGGCCAAGTACGGCGAGCTGAACGTGCGCGTCGCCTCCACCGGGCAGTGGCCGCTCGAGTGGCAGGGCGGCGACATCGTCAGCGCATGGAAGCGCAAGGGCGACATGCGCTCCTGCGACGCCTCTCGCGGCTTGTTGCTCAGCGACCATGCCGCCAAGGGCCTCGTCGACATGGTGAATCACTCTGTGGAGCCGTTCTACGAGACGCACATCCCCCAAGACCAGAACGGCACGGTGCGCCGCCGAGGTGCCGACTTCGCCACGCACGTTGTCACCTCCGTCGCGGCGTGGGCGAAGGCCATGACTTGGTCCATCTTTATCATGTTCCTCGACCTCGCTAAAGCCTTCGATCGGATCGTCCGCCAGCTGGTCGCGGGCTGGGGCGAGGTTCCCGAGGGCGCGAGGCTCGCTCACCTGCGGTCGCTCGGCGTGTCCGCGTCGGCCCCTGAGTGGATCGCCCAGTGCTTGGACGAGCGTGGGCCGCTGATGGAGCAGTGGCCGGTTCCCAAGACTTCGGCCGTGCTCCTTCGCACCTTGCACGAGGGCGCTTGGTTTTGCGTGACTGGAGGAGTGCGCCGCTTTGAGACGCGGACTAGTGGACGGCAGGGGTGCAAAGTTGGCTCCCTCATCTCCCGCGCGGCGTACTCCATCCCTCTCGACATGTTTCAATGGAGGCTGAAGCGAGCCGGTATTGCCCTTCGACTTCAAGTCCCGCGTGGAGCTACGCGGTTTCCTCCTGAAGATGACAACTTCGACCACCAGTAGGTGCTGGACATCACCTTCGTCGACGACGAGTGCGTTGTCCTCGTGGCGTCCGCGCCCTCGACGCTACGCTCGGCCGTCGACCTCCTGCTCGAGACGCTGCTCAACGTCTTCGACAACTGCCACCTCCAGCTGAGTTGGGAGACTGGCAAGACCGAGGCTGTCGTGAAGTTCCGAGGTCATGGCGCCGTCGCCGCTCGTGAATCTTTTCGGCTCCCTGATGGTCTGCTTGACTATTCGTTGGAGAAGTTCGGTCACGCGGTCGTGCTGCGCTTCGTCCGCGACTGTACAAGCACCTGGGCTCCCGAGTTGACCACGAGGGCATGGCACCGAGCAGCGTGAACGCGCACGCCCGCAATGCCTTGGCTGCGTACCCTCCGCTAGCGTGCAAGTTCTTCGGGTCTCACTGCGTGGACTGCCGGCATCGCCTCCTGTTCTTCAAGACGCCGGTGATGGCGAGGCTCCTGCACAACACGTACATCTCTGTGCTCTCTCCGAGGGCCGTGCGGAAGTCGAACGGAGTCTGGATGCGCGGCCTGAGACGCATTGCGGGCCAGATGCGTTCTTCGAGTGACGTGGGATCTTCTGACTCGTGCGTTCGCGTTGCTCTGGGCATGTCGATCCCATCGATTGCCTGTTGGCCGTTGCCAGAGTGCCGCACTTCGGCCGCGCTGGGCGCGAGCGACCCCGCTCTTTGCTGGCTGTGCCGCACGCTCGCCCGCGTGGCCATCCGCTGCCGTGGATGCAGGTCGTGGGCCGTGGCATAGATATTTACCAGCCTCGAACGTATCCCGATCCCTAAGATTGACACGCCAAAAGGCGATGACAATCTTAGGGATTCGCCCTCAAAAAATAAGGGAATCCCTAAGATTGGCATCGTGATGAGGAGGCGCCGAGCATAGGGATAGGGATATGTTCCAGGCTGGTAAGATATGCTGTCCGCCCTGTCCGCCCTGGGCTGCTTCGCTGACTCGCCCGACTTTGAAGCAGGTGCTGAGGAGAGGATCGCTCTGATGTCGCACAAGGCCGCCTGGGAAAAATGAGCAGATCGAACTCACTTCTGCGAGTCTTCGTGCGACCGCGCTGCTGCGCCATCGAGCAGCGCCACAACTCGTGCTCTGGCCTTTTGCTGTCCGTCCTGTCCGAGTGCCTTCGCCTCACTGCGAGCGTTGGACTCACACATCCGTGCGAAGCACGGTACTCGGTCGCCTTTCCGTGAACGAGTCTCGTATTCTGCATGCCCGTGCTGCTCCGTCGACTTTCGAACGCGAGCACGCCTGATGAATCACCTCGGAGAGAAACGTCGGCCTGAGTGTGGAGAATTTGTGCTGCGGCATTGCCGCCGATTGCCAGCAGCCACCGTGACAGAATTAGATGCGATAGACAGAGCTGCGAGGTGGTCCGCACAACGTGCAGGCCGCACGCAGGTCCTTGCTGACGCGCCCGCCTTGCGAGCTGACGGAAGACCCGTTGGCGCGAGAGCGAGCCCTGTCTGACCGAGGCGTGCTCACCCAAGTCCTTGCGTCTGCCCAGCCTATGAAATACATATATATATACATATATGTATACACAGACACCCCCGACGAACGTTGCAAATACCTTCAGGGAGGGCGGCTGTCTATAAAGTCGCTGGTCCCCAGTGGTGATTTATACGCCGGCACCCTCACGTGAGGCCCAGAAACCATCTATTGGAGGGTGTCTGTGTGTACTATTTTGTGGCGGACCGTCGCTTTCCTTGTCCCTCGGGCTGTCTGGGGGCGGGCGCTAGGTCAGAAAGACAAGCAGACAAACAGACAGACAGACAGGCAGACACACACACACACACACACACACACGCAGACGCGACAAAGAAAGACAACAGCATCAAAGAGCCACGCTTGTACCACCGCGCGCGGCCCGCAGCTCTTTCATATCGTGTCCCCCGCACCCGAGCGGGCCAGCAATCGGGAGCCCAGGCGCGCGCGGCGCCGGCCCGACCAGTGGACAAGCAGGCAGGCATAGGCGGCAAGGGGCAGCAGACCAAGAGTAACGACGCGGACCGCGGCTACAACTGGGAGTGCTACAACTGGGATTGCCCGAACTGGGAATTGGGGCTCTCGCAGTACGTGCAGAGAGTGTGGGGGTCATGGTGTTGCGAGGTATCTTCTCATGCGTCGGGGAGCCCATGGTGAATAGGAGCTTCAGCCTGGACGCAAAGGAACGCCATGAACTTAATCAGTTACGGAGGAAACTCACGCGCCTGGAGGATGGCAACGGCATCTCCAAGGGCAGGGACCACCATGCGGGAGAAGGAGGACAGCAGCCCAATCAAGAACGAGCTCTCCAGCTCGGTAGACTGCGCGGGGATACCGAGAAGCTGGAGGGCGCGTCGGGTGCGGAAGCGGTCCTGGAGTCCCAGAGGGCACCTTGCCGTCGCTCGGACGTCCATTTCCCGTGCATTTTTCGGTTTCGTGCGTGTTTTTTGTCGCTCGATGATCCAGGATGCTTCTCAAGGGTCCTCGCCGAGAAAAAATACACATGTCCAAGCGATGCCAGGGCACTGGCGAATCGCCTGGCAGCGCAGATCGACCAGGAGCGACCCTTGGCGCACCAGCGCGGTGAACTGGCGACGCGGCAACGCACTCGGTCCGCCTCGACGCGGGCGCTCCCCGCGCAGCTCGGCAGCGTGGGAGAGGAGAAGGTCACGCTGAAGAGCAATCGGAAGGAGCTGAAACAGAAGCTGGAGTCGACTACACGCAAGAGTGTCGGGTCGGGCGAAGAGGGGGATAGCAAAGGGTGGGTTTGAGAATCAGCTCACGTAGCTGATTTCCCGGCGCCTCTCTCGGCGCCAGAGGCGGCTATGTATCGAGGAGTGGGCCCCTCGGTGGGGCCGAAACTAGCTGCATGCAACAAATTTCGTAACCCCCCCTTTCCCAATCCCCCCCTTTTCGTCCGGCCCGAGAGTGACCCTGGGTAAGAGTGACCTTTGGTGCGCGGCTTTTGGGGGGCCGCGGGGGGGCCAGACACGAGCGCGCAAGACGCTGCTGCCGCATTGCGTTCGGCGATCGGGGGGCTCCATTGGGCCCGCACCAAAGGTCACTCCGGCGAAAGGTCACTCTTGCGTCTAGTCGATGGAGACATTCATCAGCGCCAAGACGGGGATCGATGCACTGCTCGACAGCATCATCACGGAGCGGGTCAAGGAGGAGCACGGGGAGATTGGCGGGGGAGGCCGTGGTCGGTGCGAACTCCGAGGCCGTCAGCAACATCGACAGGGAGGCCGACGCCAGGCGTGCCGCAGACGGCGTGGGATCCAGCGGTGCAGGGGTAGCCGCGCCGACGGCGACAGCAGCGGCACCACTGGCAGCAGCGAAGGCTGCAGTGGGCTCAGTGGCACCAGTGGCAGTATTAGAGGGCGCAACTGCAGAGCGAGCCCAGACCTTCCTCGAAGCGCTCGAGCAGGCGTCGGGCATGCTCGCGCCAGGCGCCAAGGAGATGGGGACGTCAAGTCGCACCCATGCGAGCCATGGAAAGCGAATTCGCGAAACAAGCAGCATATGGAAGAGAGAGCGAAGCGTCGGAGATGAGGTACGGTGACGAGAAATTCCAGGCCCTGGTCGACGAGCCATGGGAGAGAACACCCCCACGGCAGAGGGTGACAGCGCAGAGGCTGGGGGCTGGAGCGGCTGCTCATGACCCTGCTGCTGCTCGCAAAGCTAAGCAGTAGAGCCTGCTGCCAGGCTTGCGCACCCTACCAGTCAAGCGCAGAGGGAAGCGCGGGTAGCGCCTCCACAATCGTCAGCACCGAGATCAGCGGATGGGGGCCAGCGACCACGATGCTGGCGCCATCGCTCCGCAACCTTAACAGAGTGCACTAACATCACCCGGCCGACGGATACCTCTTGCAGGAGCACCGCCTGATAGACAAGCACGTCATCGAGCAGGAGCAATGGTGCAAGCAGACCGGCCTGCATGCCGTCCTCACCCCAAGTACCACAGCAAGCGACGCCTTGAGCCACCACGCACAGTTGGCGGCGGTACTGGAGTGGCCGTGAAGAGTTTGTGGAGCATGTGCGGGCCAGGGCCTCTGGGGGCTAAGGAGACCTGCCATGTCTCATGCAACCGCGCGAACCATGGCCCACGTCGATGGCCTCATCCCAGGCAGCTTCTCCCTAGGTTCGGTTTACCTGGACAACGGCGAGGATGGGCACGTATTCCTCAACGTCCTGCAGGGCACCGGCAAGGCGCTGAAGAACCAGGCAAGCCTTGGATCCTGGCGGCGACTGGACTGTCAGCCCGCACGTGTTCCTACAGAAGGCCACCCACCGGATGAGGGCCATGAAGGGATAGCTCGTGGACACGGGCTGCAGGTAGAGGTGCAGAGCCACAAGCGTTCCGCCGGAAGGGGCACGCAGCCTTTCCGAATGAGGCTTCGTCGGGCTCCCTGCAAGAGACCCCGATGGACTAAACGGAGGTGGTGGGTAGCGGGCAAGGGGCGCGACAAACCTCGCCAACCTCGGCGAGTGTCACAGCGCCGTCTGCACGGACTTCGAGAACGGACTCTTCCGGGCGCACGTGGCCGACCCGCGGGATGCGCGGCGTTGCCAGGGCCGTGGCAGGGCGCCTCCGTTTGCACGTGCACCGCTGGCGCGCACAGGGCCTACCGAGGGTGCGAGAGCCAGCTGCAGGCGGAAGTTCCTCGTGCAGGTGGGCGACTTTTTCACAAAGGCTCAGAACCACTACGGAGCCTACGAGAACGTGGAGAGGGACGAAGGCTTGGAGCGCAGAGAGTACCTGTGACATGAGGCTGATTCAGCGGCTCGACACAAGCGGTCCGTGGACTGGTGCACGACGCCGTGGGTCGATGAACCAGCGAACCCGAGCATCGCAGACGACAGTAACGAACGGATCGTTCGCGGCCACCGGCACGCCAGAAAATCTCAGGGCCAGGATTCGCCTGGCACAGGACACCTGCGAGCCAGCACGGCATGGAGCAGAGGCCTGAGCAGGAGAGGAGAGACCCCGAGGATCCGGAGCGACCTGCGCAAGCTCGACGCCGAGGCTTGGGGCGCAGAGGCCCACCGCACAGCGGACCGCTGCGGCCATCGTGCTGCCATTCGGAGCGCACGAGAGGTAAGGGCCGACGGGGCCTGGCTGGCCACGGCGGGCCTGGGCCACAAACGGGTTGCACGGCAGCATCTGAGGAACGGCCCAAGAACTCAGACCCTCCGGAGCCCGACGCGGTCATTGCAGGCCTCGGAAAGATAGCGAACACTCATGCC